CTGCAACGTGAGATCCGGTGGCGACCCACTGGATTTCCCTCTCCAGATATCACCCACAGCAGGGCACCACCTCAACGGAGACAAGCTCTAAGATGACTCTGAAACTGACCTGAAAATAAGGATAGTGGATGCAAATGTGTGTAGACAGGCTGGTTGGACTAGGATGAGGGAGGAAAGATCGCGAGGAACGTGTCCCGTTTGTTATAGAACTGACCTGGCATTCAATTGGTACTCCTCGGAGAAGCCACGGAAAACTACCGATCACGTCATCAGTGTAAAAGCCCTTGGCTAAAATTCCCCTACACATAGAACTTCAATGCGACTTCATTATGTAGCTAGTGACAAAAAATTGCCACCAGTTTCACTCCAATATCTCGATGAAAAATGCTCCACAGGAAACGGGTTGCCGCTGATCCATTTTTGAGTTTACATTATGCCATGTTGACATTGGATCAATCTAGGTTACGATTAAAACTGTTTGAAACTCTTCATGAGTTTGTTCATTACAAAAGTATGAATATCCATTATGTATAGAATGGAAAACATACTATTCGTATAACGTTTCTTTTTTCTGTATTGTAATTGTCTTAGTAGTCCCTCGGGTGGTTCATGGACAGCGTGCTAGCTATCTGTGAGGCAGTCCCGGGTTTAATTCCAATATTTCAAGGCTATAATATATCACACCGAGTGTTAAATATTTGTATTAAACCAGAAGCAAATGTATCTTTAACTCAGCATTGTTTTAAGATTTGGCAAGCGGTGAATGATTTTATGATTGTGTCTTATTAAAATGGAGAAAAAAGTATTTATTTAAGCTCAAGAAATACTGACATAATGTACTTGTGTGAGCGTGTGGTATGTGAAATAATATACCTGCTCTATTAAGTTCTTGATGAACATTTTCGAAATTTCAAAAAATAAATTCATCTTCGAACGTAGATTATGCGAGAATGCTGTTCCGTCAACTTCCCTTAAAAAAGATGAGAGCATAATAAATAGAGCAGAGAATTCACTTATCTGTGAGATGTGTGATTGTAGCCCTTCATCTCTTTAAGAAAGCCAGGTAAGTTTGATCTCTTAAAAGAAATACCTTCAAAACTTCCGATACACAAACTTTCAGACACTCCGGATAGAAGTGTTTCTTAGGTTTACAGAATTTTAGTTTTTGTGTTGAAAGAAAATGCAGCTGACCACTACAGTTATAGTGTTTACTTTTTCTATCTCTCTTCAGTAGGACTTGAACGTTTCAACTAAGCAAACATTATTCTTCTCAGATGCTGTTTGAAGCGACAATAATGTAATACAAGAAAACGTATGTGTGGTTGACAAGGAAAATATTTTTAGGAAAGAAATTATAATTCCAAACACACGAACAAATATTTCAAGAGTAACAACTAATTTGGGAATTCAAAACATTTACAAGCAGAAAATATTGATGCAAAAATAAATAGACCAAAGCATTCGAAATAAAGAAATAATGTAAAACAAACTGAACTGCAAGATACAGAAATCTGCTACATTTCATATGCACATGATCTCCGATTTAGAAAGAATTTCTCATTACATTGTCTGTTCTCCTTTTTTGTACTTCGAAATAGGCAATTCCCTTTTGCTTGAAAACTAGACCTCCAGGGCTTGTAATGTGAATCCTCTCAGCTGATCAGACTGTAGCTTCACTATCGAAGGGTGTGTTGCAGACATTTCACGTGGACTGACTTCACTACTGGAGTGAACTCCAAGTAATAGAAAGGGTATTAAAATTGCGAATGATAATAAAACAATAGGCTAATGATTAAAATAAAGAATTAATCAGGCTAAAATATATTATGGAATAAACACATTCAACAAACCATGCTTTTGTCAGTTTGGACCTTACCATACAGCATCTCTAAATCTCTAGAAACACGGTATAGAAAAGAACGATATACAGAAGAGTAAGGGAGAGAAAAAAGACGATACGTCGGAGAGAAGTTTCTAGAGTCTCTCAACCCTTCTCCAAGCCCCTTCGCGCCGTGCGTTGTCTCCGCGTATAAAATTAGTTGGAATTCAAAATAGATTCCGCGCGATTTGAATTTCTGATTTCGTAATACTTCGTCAATATTCCGGGGAAGATCGAAGACGGCGTCGCGGCGACGGCGGCGGTGGCGACGGGGTCGACGACGTCTCACATCGATTCTGCCCTTTCTTTCCACGAGGAAAGGGGAAAGGTCTGCGGTGCCGCGCGAGAAGAGCGCACCGCACACTGAACCGAATCACCTCAAACTACGCGCGAAACAAACTCTTTCTTAGTACTGCAACGAGGAGAAATCAGAGGCGATATTTCATCCATATTTGGCATTAAAATAATATGCGCAAAGTGCATGCATGGAGTACGGGGATAAAAACACAGGTTGGAAATGTTTTCAATGTGATGGAGACGGTGGACTTACGAAGACAGACGGAATACACAATCAGAGAGAAAGAGGACGTTCTGGAATGAGGACGTAAATGATTGAAAGAGTTTTCAGTCAGAGTGGCGTAAATCGGTGATGAATTTGGATGTAAGAAGGCACTGTGATATTGGTGGCATACTTGATTGAGAACAGTATTACGGGTAAGTCAATGGACTAGAATATTTGGGAGAGTCGATATTGAAGTGTACTTATAAAAACAATTAGACATAAAGAAAGGACTTTTGTTTACTTGAATCGTAACGAAGTTACACCTAGGAACTGTTTTTGAAATTTGTTGAATTGATTAAATATTGTATTGGCCTTTTCAGTTTGCAAACAATATGTGCGACGTAGCTTTATTGTTATTTTTAGGAATAAATGTTGTCTTTTATTTTGAAATTAAAAACCTTTTGATTTAATAGCTCAGTACGTTACCTTATTCAAAGCTATGGTGTATGCCATCGTCTTAATATTAAATGGATATTTTTATTTCCTCCATTAGGTAAATTTCTTAATGGAAGAATAAAAACCACCTCAGTATTGACCGGCGTAGGTGGCTCAGGGCATCAAGTAATGTCGCAGGACTAAGAAGATTTAGGGTTTTAGTCCTGAAGTGCAGTGGTAGGATTTTTAGTACACTGGCTAGATAGCTAGGTGGAATCCAGCCGCGGTCTGGAGGAGACTTCTATAGTACGGCAGCTCTGATCAGTAGTTTTCCGTGGTTGCTCCAATCATTTCAATGTAAATTTTAAAGCAGTACCCTAAACCACGGGTCAAGGATCACGTGCAATCTTTCCTTTCTCTTCCTTTCATATCCTCATCCCTTACTTACACACACACACTTACATGCACTACTGCCCTTGTGGAAAGGCCGGGCGGGTGTTTAAACCGTGTCCCGGCTGGTGCAGTACTCCAATGAAGGGCGATACCAGGAAGGGGAAAAACGCGCAAACCGACGTGCCGAGTCGACGTGATGAGATCGGCAACTAGCAAATCTCACCATCTAGCTAGGAAATATCTCAGTCAGCTCTCACGAAATAACAAAATGCACCACTCATACGGGATTAATGATCTTAGCAATTGAAGCGTCCGGAAACACCATATAATCAATCACTCAAATCGTTGCACTGTGCTGTTATATCACCTTCATATCTAACTCAATAAACTAGAGGAATGTAAAGCCCCCTTGAAGGCATCTGCGCGCGAAAATTGTGGTCGGCTGTTCCGTACAACGCTATCTCTGCGCACTTCTCTCGCTGCGATTGGCTTAACGTGTGATGACGCAATAATTAGTGCCGTAAAATGCTAATACGTCATCATTTGTAACGTAAAATTACCGATTATGAACGATGTCCTGCAATATAAAAAGTCGTTTATAATGCTAGTATACAAAAAAATGTTTTATGCTTCATGACAAAATTAAGTCATTTTATCATCAAACATGTATCGATTCATATCGGTTTACGTTGAGCGGAAATTGATTTCTAATTTACAGTGTTTGAACTCTGTGGAAGCCATGAAAGTGCCCTATAAAACACGTTTTAGAAGCTTAAAACGTGCAAAACCATCTTTAGTCATGAATTCTACTAGAATGTTCTAGAAAAATATGGTAGCTTTCTCATCAATATACTGCGATGTATCAAATAAGATGTCTCTTCCCCAATGTGGTGGAGTGGAGGATGTTAAGTGGTGAGTAAAGGAACGACCACCTGTATGTTACCCGATTTATAAATAGCATTCTTTTGACATTTTTATTCGATTTTTAGCTATTTATTCTTTACAGAAATGTCGTATTACAATAAATTAAATAACTATTTAAATTTTATTGGACTGCTGTTTCCAACAGTACTATACAGTGTGCAGAACCTACTCAAAATATGCTTAAAACTTATCTAAATATGGAAATCGTATATTGAAAAAAATAAAAGGAAACTCACTGCTCAAAAAGTGATTTCTTTATATCAGTAAATACAATATGTTTACTCTCCTGCGTTCCACGCTCTATTTTATCCATTCGTTTTGAAATCCAAAGGACTAACGTTTAACTGAAACATTTAAATATAGAATATAAATTCTTAAATGGTAAGAGGAACTTAGCGAGCTGAGTTAAAAATTAATGTAGAAAAAATGGAAACTGCTAAAGAGCAATCTACTTTACTATTTCAGTACTATTTATTTTTACTCGGATGCCTCCATAAAAACCACCTGTTTATTTTTAGATAGTTACAATAATTTCTTAGGCCAAAACTGCACATGCATTAGGGAGAAATGTAAATCTGTTTACTGTCTAAGAGCAAGGGTCAAGGGCTACCGCTGTCGTTTCCATCAAAACCAAACCAAGATCTATCGATAAATTCACACACTGCTCACATACTTAGTGAGTTATAGGCATTTCCAAAACATGACTAATGTACGACCTCATCAAACAGAGCGTTTCATTAGACACTGCGAGTATATTCAATGCGTTTTAGGTGGTTAGGTGCGAATTTGGTGCCAGTTTGGCCCACAGTGCATCTCGCCGGGCCGCGGTCCCGAGGTCCGGAGGTCGCGACTCGGAGGGGTACTTACTGTCAAATGTCGTCATAGAAGAAGCGCGCGAGCAACTCTCCCGTCCGCCGCTGACGCTCTGGAAGGCGCCACCTGAAAAGGCAGAGATTAGAGTCTAATGATGCGAGCTCGACAACAGAAATTAGATTCAGTCACAACGGCTGGAGCTTGCAGATCGGAGTAAATTGGACGCTAAGACGGGCTTGGGAAGGTAAATGAAGTGGTGGAGAAGTTTGTGGATGAAGTTCATGAGTTAAGCGGCACGGGAATGGCAAGCTGGAATAAAACGAGGTTGTTAGGTCATGACATGTAACTACTCGTACAATTTCATTTGTATATATTTAACACGAATATAGCACAGTTGATAATAAATTTGGAGTCACATCACTGTTCAGAAGTAAAAACATATATGATTCAGCTCTTTTTCTTTTAACATTTGGCTTCTATACTCAAGAGAAAAACAGAATTGAAGATTTACATAAGAGCTAGATATCATTTACACTTATATTTTTGAGCACGTACTAGCAACACACTTCCAATGCGATTCAAATTATAAGTATATAGTTAAAATCATATCGATACACTATAGGACATTTCTCAGAAGAATGACTTATGCCACTTGTGTTAATGCCATTGCCTCTTCTGGATTTGACAACTTAAGACAGTAAAGGAATAGAAAAGAACATTACACATACATTTTTGATTGATAAAATTAGTTGTTATTATTTATGTTTTTTAGATTTCATAGATTTTCTAATGACGTACCACTTTAACTCACTTAAAATTGAAAAAAAAGTGTCATTTAATAAGGCTTTCTGATACCAACATAATAGAGATGGCATATTTTCAATTCGGCATCTTCGTGCAATTTCTATCATAGTTTTGTAGGTAAAATGATCAACTTCCTTGACCTTGTTTCAAATACAGAAAAATCTGATTTACACTGTAGCTACAAATGGTTCCAACAAAACTTAACCGTTAATGCACGTGGCGTGTCTGCAAGGTCATGCAATTGGAAGTGGAAATCAAATCTAATAGTGCTAATTGCTATAAAGAAAATTATGTTATTTTAACAGTTTTTGTTACTATAAATGACGAAAAATAAACAGATATTTAGGATTGTTTGCCTCCTCTCGCTCTTATCAAAAATACCCTTGACATGTCACTCATTCCCTTAGTTGAGAAACTACTTCTGTTAATTGCCCTCACCGAATCATACAAGCAAACTAGACTTGAAAATGCAACTCACATCCTGTAGAAACTTTCTAGCATGTCCGTCAGGCGATGAAGTTGGCGAATTGCCGGATTGGATTTGCGCACGTAACGTGCTTCTCGACTCCTTCGCAAATTCCCACCGAATGAAAGCACGAGGAAACAAACCATTGTAATGCTGTTAACTGGGCGAAGAATGGGCCTTGTGGTTTCACTAAGAGATATTTATTTAATCCAGCTTCGTACCTCAAACAGAAATTAATCCACCCGCGAGATAAGCTACTCTTAATGTCACTGTTTGTAGTAATCTGACAATAAGTCTCGCCGTAAGAAGATACTAAATCAATCTTAATTTTCACAATTTTTTCGTTTCTGATTACAATATAACTAAAAATCGCTTGATGTTACAGCTTAATGAATGTTAATCTACGAAATGAAAAAGGCCGCTGCTGTAGGTGAAAAGGAGTATGTACGCATATCTTATGGAAACGAAATTGGTTCAACGAAAAAAATGGTCGTTTTCAGAAGTGACAGTTGAATCAATGTGGCCGTTTTAATACATTTTCTTGGAGACATTATTAGAAAGTCAGTACTTCTGCATATAGTAGTAACAACAAATAATCAATATTGTAAAATAACCTACCCATTTACTTTTATACTGTGGATTCCAGAATCATGAAAACAGTTACGTACGCATCTAGTGACAATCATTAGACACAAACACTTTTCTCCATTACTCCGATGCTGTACACATTTTTCACAGACTTTTTTGGCCCGACAGAGGTCGCTTGCGCTGGATCGCTGAGAACCAGATCAATTCACGGTTCCCCCGGTTCTCGTAGAAGACTGAGCGATTGATATATTTTGTTTCTATCATATTCCTACATTATATATAGTCACCATGAAGATATTAGTAAAAAACACGTGAAAATAACGCCAGTTGGCACATTATATCGTTATTGAAATATGTAGAGTGTGCAAACTGATTCTAATGCTTGCATATGCTGATAACGAAATTGTTATATTTCAGGAATATCATAACTATCATCTTTATCGCTCTCCCCAAAACGCTAACGGCTACTTTGATGCCGTAACATCTCTAGTTATGTTGTTGCCTTATAAGCGACGTTATTTTTCTGTGAAATAAACGTTTTGACACGTGCTTCGTCCTGGCGCCGTGCTGCCAGCGCAGTTTCAAAGAACTGTATACTAATATACCGATTTTAGATATCTATTGTTATACTCATGTTATCACATGCACTGCATTTGAACTAAATGAACATGTATATTTAAAATGTGTTATTTGAAATTTTGTCTGTTACGAAGTATTTAAGTTAAAACATACTTTTTTTGGAATCGTATTTATCAGTTCTGTTAGGAGTACCTGAAAAAAGCTAAATAATGTCTTCATAATGACTACGATTACAAAATTCATTTTTACGATTTTAGTAGTTTAATAAAAATATATTTACAACATAAATTTGTAGATTTAATTTTTTGGCCCGATTTGTAAAAAAAATGAAACTTTACTAATAATGTTGTTCGTGGCAGCACAACGGAATTCTATTGGTGGTGCCAGTTATTGATGGTACAAAACATCGACTTTGAAAATTATAACATAGATGCTAATAAAATATCGATCAAAAACTATTGATGATTTTAAACATTGATGCAATGTTTTAAAACTTGCTTGAAATTCGTGAGCAACATAATTTAATTTTACTGTGACCATGTTATGTTATATAGAAGACTAAACTGAAGGTAAACAAAAAATTAGAACAAATAAAAATATTCAGTCTGAAAGACTGAGCTCCCACTGTAATCTCTAGAGGTAACAACTTCGTGAGTTAGCTGAAGAAGGGTACGGGAATAAGAGAGGAAGCCTTACGCGCAAGGCGAAATACAAGGAAAGATGTACACCAGAACATGAGACGGCCGACCGACAACGCCACGACCTGTGCGTTTGAAGAGAGGATTAATAGAGCATCAAATGACAAAGCGCTTGTTCAAATGAAAAAAAAACTATACAGAAAAATATTATGAAGCAACGATATTTTATGCACATATTTGTGGGGAAATTTTATTTTCCTTCCTTTTTGTTGGTGGTGCTATGGCACACCAGCACTACCGTCCGAGCGGCCAAATATTTTTGTGATCCACTTGCACTCTAAATTATCTTTCATTTATATAATATTTCTCCATGTTTATACGTATTAAAAGTATCGCAAGTACCATATAAGCGATATGCAATAACTAAAAGTATATTAAATTCCCATGGTTTTCCATATAAACAAAAATTTGTCCCTGGGTCAATCAGACCCACTTCAACCCTCCCTGGTAGGAAATTTGGGGCGCGATCTACCGGGATAACTTCGAATATACGTATTCACTATTTTCATGCATATAAAAACTTTTACATGCTTATACGCGTGTTTCGTTCCATAGTTTGAACTGCTTCATCTTTTTTCTACCAAACGGTTCTCGTGTTTTAAATGTCCTGACCGTCTGGTACGCTTCATATTTTTTCGCAGAATTGCGTGCAGGGAACCGCTGTCCAGTCCATCAGAAATATCAAGATGGCCGCGTTACCCTCGGCACAGAATTGCCGTTTGCGGAAAACATCAGACAAACAAGCAGAGAGTACAGGCGGGGTCGGAACGAGTATGTGAATGCTCAGTCTCTATATTGACAATAGAAGTATCAAAACATATTGCAAATTAAAAAGAAATGTATCTCGAGAGTGAAGGTAAACACTTTTTCAACAGTAGAAATAACGCAAAAGATTCTTTGAAATTTATGGCGATGTAAGTGTGTTATTTTTGTCTTATCTATATTTACATTGAGGAAGCAAAATAATAAATACACTCGTATTTGTACATACGCAAATTAGAAACCAGCTTAGGTGGCTCAGAATTTTAACTGAAGTTACTGCATTGATAACTAGATGCTACGTAGGTAGAATTTAGCCCTGTCTGAGTAAGAATCCTTAGTTGACTGCCCCTTTCACGATGAAAATGCGCTACACTTTCGGAACTAATGAGTTGATGACTGCAGTTGACGCACTCAGAATTACTAATCAATCAATCAAATACGCGCTACAACTAAATATACGTTGAATAGTTAAGCCCACTAAATAAGAATTTTTATTGATATTTGATCTAAAAAGACAAAAAGAATATTCACTTAGATTTGTACACTAAGATAAATATAGCATTTACAAATGAATATCACAGTTTATTTGAAGGATGAAATACGTATTACGAAATAATGAAAATCTATGCATATTCCATTAAGTGCCTACTTTAATCTTCCTGAGAGTGTGCAATTCTTTTGGAAATGAATGATGAGATGGGTATCGTGACATCGTATATTTTTAGCAACTTTATTACTTTACATTATATTATATTATTATTTATTACATTATATTATGTTTGAAAGAATCGCCCACGTTTTTAGAATTGCCACACAATTCCCAAAAGGCTCCCTCCACCCTCAAACAAGGCATAAAAATCTATTTTGTGTTGATAGAAAATTTGTCGCCAGGACATAGTTACCATATAGTCCCGTCCGTGAGGAAAAAATGTAGTTGCGACATACTATGTCCGCACAACCGGCACACGCCGGGCTAGCCCGAGTCGCTTGCCAGGGAATAGCGTCCGCCCTTCATGGAACCCCCTCATTAAGGTGGGACTATTTTCCCAGCCGAAACGAGCTCTCTTCGCCCCCACGCGTCCGCCCGCCAGCACCTGACCCTCGGGAGGCGATCAAACGAGGGCGAGCTAACAACCGCTTGTCTCGCAATCAAGAGGCGCCTCCGATCCTCTTAGAGCGGGTCAGGCGGCCGGCCCCATCGACCAGCGAGGCGCCAGCCCTCATCCTCG